ATTGCTGGAGCTTTGGTGGTGATGTGGGATGGTGACACAGTTCTGAGGAGATGTGAACCTACACCTCTAAATTAATATGATGTTGTAACCAATGTTACCTCCATGAAAAATAATACAATACAAATTTAAGTCTGCTATATTCCCTTGACCAACCCTTTCATACACAGCAGGAATAGCCACTTTTCGGTCAGAGATGATTGCATTTTTTTATTTTTACAGAAGAAAATCAAGCTTACCATCTCTTCCAGCTTATATGATAACAAAGAAAAGGCAACTGATTAAAAAAATAAATAGAAAACTCCAAAAATGGGGACCTTACATCAACATAATAAGTATGTTAGACCAGCTAACATCATGTTCAATTAAAACTGTAAGTCTTCCTCTAAGGTCAGGTACAAGACTAGGATGTCTTTGTTATAAAACAAAACCTGTATCAAAAGGTGACCTGAGGAAGAAGAAATTCGCAGATGAATAACCAAGTACATGTGGACATGAGCATCATTCGTCTCTCACTGGCTTTGCTTTGTTATAGAGCTGCTTTTATATAAGGGTTTTGGTATCATTTCTTTATTTTTATTTAATTTCACATTATGTTTTCAGAATGTACTCTGTGAGAGGCTGATTTATGTAACCAGAAACTATGGGTTATAAATAAGGAAAAACAAAAAAGGCAAAAAAAAAAAGTGAATAATAATTCTATTTCAATGATAATCTTTAAAATTCATATTGAAATCATAATAAAATGTTTTTTCACCCATCAAACTCTTAATAAAATTTAAAAAGGTAATAATATTCAAGTGTTAGCACTTTCATTTCTGGAGTGGAACAAGGAAATGTTTTAGGTCCTCAAATATTTTTCTTTAAATCTGTTCAACCATTTATCTCATTCCAGGCACGATCCTTGGAAACTTATGATATGCATACAAACTAAAACATCAGAACATTATTTATGATTAAAAAAAAACCCCAAAGGCTAAAACAACTAAATGCTTGACAAAAAAGGGGTAAACTATGTTACAACCATCAACAAAAGTTAGAGTTTTGGCAGTTATTTAGAAAAAAATATTTTGCTATGAAGAATTCAATTACTCTAATACATATCTTGCTTTCCTTAGGAATTCCAACTCATATTAAGAATTCTGTCAAAAGCACACTGCTTGGAAAAGCTGTTTTTAAGGAAAGCAAAGACTAGGGACAATGAGAAGCATTCAAAGGTCAAATTCTCACCTCTTCTGTGCAGGACTTTACAGTCTCAAGAATAGTACAGTTACTTCTTCTTACCACTTTTATTGCATTGTAGTGTGTAACTATTATGTACCTGTTTTATTCTGTCACATACTATGACTAGACTTGTAAACCTCTCCCAGTAAGCCCTACTGTCATTTGATGATTGAAAGAATTTTTGTTATCATCTTATTTCATATAATAAAGAGTAGTGGGCTTTGCATGAAGTAGGTTCTTAATAACTACTTGCTGAAAGGATTTCAAAGGCAGAAGTTGTATTAGAATAACACAATGCTAACAATCACATTTTAAAATATTTCTTCATATATTTTAACATCTAAAAAATTATTTATCTAATTTTGTAGAATAGATTGTTGAACAGAAGATAAGACCTATGAAGAAATATCTCTGATGAAATTTACCCCAAAATGTTAAAGGTAGATTTTGTTAATTGTATACAAATACCAAAATTTAAAAAAAATCAAAATGTAACATCAATCTTGATTTTAAAAAGTCTAAAATTACTAAAGAGAACTAAGTTTCTGAATCCTCATAAGTGAGATTTTTCCTAAAAAAGGAATGTAAACAAAAAACTCTTATCTGTGGAATAGTAAAAATAATCTATTTTCTCTTAAATTCTTTTTTCTTTATAACCTGAACTTAATAGTGCACAGGTGAACTGGTGGTGGGAATTCTATGGTGACTACACCAGAGACAGCAAACATTGTACAAAAATAACGGTATAAAATACATATAAATAAATAAACTATATTATAAAAAAGTGGAAAAAAGCACAATCTGTCATTTTGCTTTAAATCTATAAAAGCCAAAGTAAATGAGAGTGCTAAAAGTTTCTTAATTTTGAAAATTATAATTTAATAATGAAGATGTGTTGGCAAAACACCTAATAATCCCAAATTAACAAAAATTTAAATTATGTATTTGCTGTTTCCCAAATAGAATGTTTAATTATAGAATACTTTAGGAATAAAGTTTTACTACTTTTAGCAGTAACTAGTCATGCTGTACACATTAACAATTAGTATACTACATACAATTGTAATTACAAAAGCACATTAAGTGTTTCAAAATAATGACAGAAACAAGAAAAAGAAAGCATACAAATTAATAAAGTAGAATAAAATTATGTGAATTTGCAAATATGGTGCTATATATAGAAGACAAAGTATTGTTAAGATGCCAATACTACTCAAAGCAACATACAGATTCAGTGCAAGCCTTATTAAAATCCCAATAGCATTTTTTTTAGAAATAAAATTCACATAAACCCTTAAAGGGATCTTAACTAGCCAAACAATCTTGCAAAGGAACAGAGAAGGCTCACACTTTCTGATTTAAAAGCTTACTGCAAAGGTACAGTTAAAAAAAAAGTTTGATTATTGGCATAAAGATAAATAAAGAAAGAATATTGGGACCAGAGATTCATCCTTAAAGTTGTGGTCAAATGCTCTTAGACAAGGAGGCCAAGACTATTTAGTGGGGAAATGACAAACCTTCCTCAAGGAACAAAAGACGGAAATTGGACACTTTTCTAACAACACATACAAAAATTAGCTCAAAGTGAGTCAAAAACCTAAATGTAAAAATAAAAGCATAAGACACTTTCAAGAAAACAGGACAAAACCTTACGACAATGGATTTGGCAATGATTTCTTGGATAGGCCATCAAAGGCAGAAAAAATAAAGAAACAGTAGCCAAGTTGGTCTTGATGAAAAAGAAAAAACTTTGTGTATCAAAAAAATACTATCAATAAAAAAGCATTTCACAAAATGACAGAAAATTTTCTCACATTATATATGTGATGACAAAAATGGAAAAAAAAATGAAGATATGAAAGCAAGACTGTAGAGAAATTGGAACCTCTGTACAATGTTGATGGGAACATAAATTGGTAAATTGCTGTGGTAGTAGCTCCTCAAAAAACTAAAAAATGAATTATCATATAATTCAGCAATTCCATTTCTGCATATTTTCAAAGAAATAAAGACAGAGTCTTAAAAAGATGTTTTACACTGATGTTCACAGCCACATTATTTACAATAGCTGATATGTGGAAATAAACCAAGTGTCACTGATGGACGAAAGGGTAAAGTGAAATCCAGTATATACATACAATGGAATATTATTCAACTTTAAGTAGAAGAGGAATTTTGACATATGCTATAAGAGAATGAATCCTGAGGTATTATGCTACACAGACTAAGTAACAATACCATATGATTTTACTCATATAAAGTATTCAGAGTAGTCAAAATCAGAGACATAGTAAAACTGGATACTAGAAGGTGTAGGGTGGGGGTGAGGAGGGAAGTTACTACTTAGCTGGTATAAAAATTTAAGTTCACAAAATGAAGTTTTAGACATGGATGGCAGTGATGAAAGGTTCACATTATAAATGTATTCAATACCAGCGAGCTCTGCATTTTTTAAGATGGTAAATTTTATGCTGCATGTATTTTAGTACATTAAAACAAATTAGGAAAAAATAGGGAGAAGAGTGCGGATAATCAAGCATTTAATTTGCCTGTGACAACTATACTGTCCAGATAATATATGCAGAGGCGCAAGAGCACTAGATATAGGGTTCCACAGACATTCAATTCCTAATAAAATAGTGGACCTTACAAAAATCATAAATATTGCTAACCATAAGAGGAGAGCATTATAATGAAAGGTCCCTGCTAAGGAAATATTGAAGCTACTGATCAATTTTAACATTACAAAAGAGAAGTTTGCACATTAATAAAACTACTGTGAATAAGGTTCTCTGAGCTTAGATTTTCTGATCTAATTAACAAGACTGACGAATACATTTTAAAAAGAGACAGGAAACCTAAATTATGTGTCTGCTAATGAGCTAAAAACAAACAGCAACACCTGGGAAGTATTCTTGACCAAAAAAGATCTGATTCTAATCAAGGCTCCATATCTAATTACTGGTTTACAGGAAATACAGGTGACAGAGTCACATGCTAGCACCATGGGAATAGAATCAGCAAAATCTAGACTTCTGAGAAATTCTATAACACAAGTATTTCTATCTTTAGGTACCTTGTCTAGTTTCTTATTTGATACAGTAAGTTGAGAAGAAAATTAGGGCATTTTAAATAGTGAATATTTGAAATTAAGGAATTATATTTTTTCAAATTTCAAAGTGACCATGTGGTTGTTATAAAAGTAAGTTTTTATAAAGAAAGATTGCAATATTTATAAATGAAATGATAAAATGTTTGGCGCTTCTGTAATTATCAGGGATGGGCAGGGTCATGGGTGTTTGCATAAATGAAAAAATATTGGTCATGTATTGATCGCTGTGAAAGTCAAGTACTGATTAAATGTGTGCATAGCACAAAGTGTGAGCATGTCTATCAACTTTGCTATAATTTTACATAATAAAGAGTTTAAAAGTCTGGAATTTTTTATATAAGTAAATATTTTTATTATAGTTAAATTTATAGCATTTATTAGCCAAATATTTTTAAGTGGAAATAAGCATCAGGCTGCATGTATGTAAAGTATCATGAATTCATAAGTAGAAAATTCAAAATTTGATGTGGCTAACAGTGAAAACGCCATCTATGAAAGATATATTTATTACACCTACTACTTGTTATGTGCATCCATTATAATTAACTTTATTATAATCTGTTAATGTTTTAACACTCATTTGCAAATGATTACTAAGAAAATACTAAGTAAAATTTCATAATTCTTTCACGCTTCAAAAGAAGTATTTATAACCATGGCAACTCACCAGCTGTAAAATCTTCAGTAAGATCAATGAATGCATGAGAATGAGGAATCCGCATTTTGTTTTTAGTGTTCAATGCGGGATGCCATGACAAGTTCCTAAAAAAATTAAAAAAAAAAATTTAAAGAAAAGCTACAATTAAGCATTGTTATTTTTTAAACAATCGCTACATATAAGTAAGATACATTGTCATTTTGCATCTTTTTATTGAGATAGCATATAGACCATTAAATGTACTCTTCAAGGAGAGTGTTTATTTAATGATTTTTCATTTATTCACCATGTGCAATCATCATCACTGGTTTCAAAATATTTTCATCACCTCAAAAAGAAACCCCCATATCCACTACTCACTTCCCATTCAGACCCTTGGAGCTAGAAATGTGTTTTCTTTCTGTATGGATTTTCCTATTCTGCACATTTCATGAAAGTAAATCATGTTATGTGTGGACATATTTGTCTGGTTCACTTAAGAATAATACTGCAGTTCATCTATGTTATACTGTGCCTCAGTGCTTCATTCCTTCTTCTGGATGAGTAAGATAGCAGTACAAGGCTCTATCTTTTGTTTATTCATTCATCTGTTGCAAGACATTTGGTTTATTTCCACACTTGGCTCAGTGCTACTATGAATATTCATATTCATGTTTTTATGTGGACTGTCAGAGTCCAGCTCTGGTGAACAGGGTTGAGAGATGAATCTGAAAGAATTTTGAAATAAAGAAATGACAGATGCACAAGAGTTTAAGAGAAGCAGGATCCAGGGGATGTAAGGCTTTTTATTTTCAGCTCAAGTGTTTTTTGAGTGTCTGGTGTAACTCATTTTTCTTAAGATAAACGGTCCCCCCTTTCCTTCAGGTTAGTTATAAGATAATGATTTATTTTTCTAGCATTTAGCATTAATTTGGCACACATTTACTGGCAAGGTTTTGTGTTAATTGAGTTGTTTTATTTTTACACCTGTTACTTCTTTAAACTCAGCTTTGCTAATACAAGGAAGGATATTACAGTCTTGACACAGACCAGTCTGTTAACCCATGTCAACCAGTCTTTCAGTCATGACCTAGAGACTTTTCTTGCTTCAGCACTTTAAGCCTTAGGGGTCTTCAGCATGGGCCCATGTTTTCAGTTCATTAGGGTAAATACCTTAAAGGTATTACTGGGTTATAACCATGTAATAACTGTATATTTAACTTTCTGACAAACCATCAAAACTATTTTCTAAAGAGTTCCAGCATCTAACATTCTCACTAGTAATACAGGGAGATCCCAACATATGTATTTTTTTTAACACTTATTATTGCCCATTTGTTTTATTATAGTTATCCTAGATCATAATATTGATCTCAAGATTCTGATTTGTATTTTCCTGATGACTGATGCTGAACAAGTTTTGGTGTGCTTTCTTGCCCTTTGTATATATTTTCATTGGAGAAACTCTATTCAAATCCTCAGTCTGTTTTTATACTGGCTTCTTTGTTAATTTATATCTGAGTTGTAAGACTTCTTTACAAAGAGTGGATATTACATCTTTATGTATGGTTTGCCAGTATTTCATTCTGTACACCGTTTACCTATTTAATAGCATCCAGTGATGTACAAAAGTTTTTAATGTTGATGAATCCAGTTCATCTATTTTTCTTTTTCTTTTCATGCTTATTTTTTTGATGACACATCTACAAATTCATTTCCAAATCTAAGGGTGTGAAGATTTACCCCTACCTTTTGTTTAGGATTTGATCATAATAGCTACTACAATTAGATTTTTAATTCTTTAAGTACAAAAAAAAAAAGATTTAGCATTCCCATGAATATATTTCTTTTTTTTTTTTAACCACCAAGTTATTTGGAATCAGAATTAAAAGAACATTTGCTAGTAGTGAACTGTGTGTTTATTCTGACACTTCTCATCAGTTGTAAAACTAACCTAGGACAAATTACCAGATAAATTTTACATAATTTCTTCACAATTAGAGTTCTTTTTTCATGATTTCAAACTTGGCTGTTTCAAACATGAAGTTAACGGATGTCTGCTTTGCTGTACATTTACTAAAGCTTAAAAAGCAACCAATTCTATTCTTGCTGAGAGTCTTGGCCAGTATCAACAAGTCCTCCAGATCCTGTCACTTAGTTCAGCATTCTCTAGTCTTGTTCACAACGCTTTTCTTAAATGCCACTGCTACAGAACCAGTGTATCCTGAGATAGACTGGACATGCAGACTGAATGACAGAGGAGAGTCTGAACACCATCTGAAGATGGTGATTGTTTAATGACAGGAAGTTTCTCAGAAAGTTTGCATCTAGGTCAGAGTTTTTCTAAGACTATCAAGGGCAATACTGATTTTCTTTTATCAAAATTAATTCCAAAGATGAAAGCCATGTAAAAGAATGAATTTAGAATCCTACTTCAAACCATATGCAAAAAATTAACTCAAAATGTATCAAAGTGCTAAATCCTTAAGACTTTTACATGAAAATAGGAATAAATCTTCACTGCGGATTTGGAAATAGATTCTTAGATATGACACCAAAAGAATAAGCAATAAAAGAGAAAATAGATGAAACAGACCTATCAAAATAAAAAAAGCTTATATATTATAAGATACTATCAAGAAAGTGTAAATGTATTCAAAAGAATGTGAAAAAATTATTTACAAATCTTATTTTTGATATGGGTCTATATAAAGAATTTTTACAACTCAACAACAAAAAGACAAATAGGTAATGTAGAATGGGTAAAAAAATAGAAAATTCTTCTAGGAAGATAAATAAATGGTTACCAAGCACATTAAAGGTGAGAAAATGTAAAGCAAAATCACAATGACAAACCACTTTACAACCTATAGGATGACAATATTCAAATGCCAGAAAATAACAAATATTGGAAAGAAAGTGAAGAAACAGAAACTCTTGTATATTGCTGGTGAGAACATACAATGGATGTATCACCTACGGAATACAGTTTAGCAGATCTTGAAAAAAAAGTTAGGCATAGAATTAGCCTATGGGGGAGTCCAGAAATAGCAGAAAATAAAGATGCTGGGCTATTCTCTTCAATATACTCACACCATGCCGCAGCAGAACAAAAACAAAACCTCTGTAGGGAAAATAAAGTAACAATAGCACACAACAGGGACAATGGTTAGATAGAAAAAGAGTAGGAAAGACTTTAAGTGACCTGTGTCACTTAAATGGCACCTGGGCAATAAAACTCATTAGGTAGGGCTAGCTGCTATGCAGAACTCCTGTAAGTGCAGCATTGCGGGCAATGCCAGTATCAGGGATTGTTTACACTCAGCAAGTACTGGATAAAGGATTGTGCAGTGTGGCACCCAGAACAGATGGTGTACTGTTGGAGAACTCTAGGAGCAGGGGTACAGAGTGAGGATTACTGGCATGAGCCTGAGTATCTCAATAAGGAACAGACGGAATTTGAACGGGAGTAAAAGGAATACTTATGTCTCCTCATAAAAGCTACTACTCGAGTACCCATGGGATTTTTCCCTCCCTGCAGAGGATATGACCACTGCTGTTCTCAGACACCTATTTTTCTCTCCATCCTGGGAGGGGGCAAAACTAGGAAATTAAATAATATAAGGAGATTCGGTGTCTGGGCAGCGTCTTGGATAAAACCTTCTACTACAGGATGGTGGCAGAGTAAAGATGCTGAGATCACTGCGTCAAAGCTCATGCAGGAATTTAGGAATGAAAATGGAATATAGACTTACATACTACAAGTTTCAACCCAAATGAGAACACCCTGGACTCACTAGAAGGAAGATATCTGAGGGAGAATTGGTGACTGGGGAGTTCCAATAAGAGAACCCCCCTCCCCGACCTCGGGACCGCTCAGGCCCGTGGAAGTTTGGTGGGATGCAGGAGCTGCTTTACCCCTCGCTAAAGCCCTGGAGTTGAAGGGAGACGCCTCAGCTTGGTGAGTGGAGCCCAGGCTGAGGAAACACTGCAGATCTGATCCAGAGCACCTGGATACTGGGTGAAGCAGCTGACAGACCAGCTCGACCAGCTTGGGAGCAGGCAAGATGGTGGCAGAGTAAAGATGCCAAGACGACTAGATCCAGGTTCTCAAAGGAAATATATAAAAACGGACTACAGACGTATATACTACAAGTTTCAACCCAAATGAGAACAGCCTGGACTCACTAGAAGGAAGATAACTCAGGGAAAATCAGTGACCGTGGAGTTATGATAAAGGAACTACTATCCAGAAGCACCACAGACAAGATAAGCAGAACCCTACAACTCTGATTGATTGGGGGGAATGCCCAGGTTCTAGTGCCGCAGATGGAGGCTTCCTGCTCATTAGGCTCGGTAAGTTGAACCGAGCCAGGTGGTGGTGGTGGGGGGGAATGATGGCGCAAGTGGGCACATAAAGCCTGGGGGTGGAGAAAAAATCTGATGATCTGGTGACTGGGGCAGCTGCAAGGTGTGCGACCCTTTCACCCACACCCACAGCATAGGCCTGGAAGTTTGTTCCAGGAATTAGTCACTAAGGCGGGGACAGCAAGTTCACAAAGCCTGGGAGATAAAAGGGGAGAAAAAAACGGTTAGACTGAATCAAAACAGGCCCATTAACACTCCCCCCAAGTGGCAGAGAAAGACTGCTCAGGGAGAGACAGATCTGAGTGGGCCTTGGAGGCTAAGAGGGAGGACTGACAGCTCGCAAACCTGGGGGGTGCGCAGAATTAGAACTCAAGGTGTTACTGAGCAGCACTGGCAGGAAGACGTGTGAGCCAGAAAGGCACTGCCTTGCAAGGCTCACAGTGCTCAAAAAATAAAACCAGTGACTAGCTCAACCACAGGCCCAGCTGCAACACTTTTAATTCACCCCACCCTCTGGGGCTACATCCAAGCATAGAGGGAACCCGGGACATCAGAAGGTTATAAAGATTAACAGACACCTTCCAGAGACAAGGACCCAATGAGTCACCAGAAGAAGTTGGACACAAGAGACCCCCGAGCATCACTGGCAGAGATGACAGAATTCCACACAAAAAGGGATGGAAAAACAGGGATACTGAAACAAAACAAGGCTCACAATACGCTCCACTACAGGAAGTCCCTCTGTCATCCCAGAAAG